GATGGCGCAGCGTCAGCGCAGCGTCGGCGTCCACAGACCGGAGTGGTCGTGTGTTGGGGCGTGGCGCCATCTGACCAGAGCTGCCGCCAAGCGTCAGGGTCCACAGACCAGAGGTGCCGTCTGTGTTTACCGGAGCTGCTGCAAGCGGGGTTGAATGGCAGAGCCCATTTCCGAAGCACAATGCCCGCGTGGCTGGAGGTGGGGAGCGACGCTCGTTTCGCAGCCAGCCATAGCCGGCCAAGCTAGGGGGGAAGGTATTGTGCGGAGTTACGTGAAATGTTGTTTGGCGAGCTTGAAACTAAAAGAACCTGGAGGCAGCTGGAGCATGGATCTGCCATGGGTGTGGGGCCAGGGACCGAACATTAGTGGCGCATGCAGGAAGGGCAGGGCAGGGCCAGCCAACTGGAGCAATAGCAGGTGGATGGGACCCAGAAAAACTGAGCAAGTTTGCAAAATTTCTGAAGAGATCGAAGGCCGCTTTCGGCCAACCGCTTCCAGGCTTGCTTCAGACGGACTGAAGGCAGCTGGAGCAGGGATTTTGGCTGAGCGACATGCTGGGAGGGTTGGGGTCGATTTTTCGAGGTGTGTGAATCAACCGACAAATTTGCACGCCCCAACTGCCATTCTGGTTTGTTTGTTTTTTGTGTTTGGCACGCTTGGGATGTTTGCGCTTTCAGAAGCCACACACGGGCCCCGAACAAAGAATAGGAAACAACACGGTTCGTCCAACCGATGCATGTTTGGATGGTGGGATGTGGGATGTGTCCCTTTTGAGTTCGCTGTCTTCAATGCTCAAGCTTGTGTCATGTTTTGTTTGTGTTGGTTGTCTCGACATGTTCTGCCCAGAGCCAAAAGAACAGAAGCAAGCAAAACTTCAAGCCACATGACCCACCTTGACTCATGTATATGAGGACAATGGGGTGTGTCATGTATGGAATGGAGTCTGAAACCATGGCAACTAGGCACGGCGGCGGGGTCGAGTGTGGCTTTACTTTCCGGTCGAGTGCAGCTTTCATTTATGGTCGAGTGTGGCTTTGATGTGTTCCCGACCGCAAAAAACTTTGTTTTTGGACACATTATTATAGCTTGCGCAGCCATGAAACTGTGAATCGTTTGCGTACTTTGGAAGGATCGACCACATAGAAACTGTTTTTTGGCACTTTTAGCCTGCGCAGCCATTGCCTTCAGCCCTTGTGGCAGGAACGCTCCGCAAGGCGAAGCCGGAAGGCCACGTGCAGCCAGTTTGCGAGGCTTGCGCGAAAAACCGGCCTGTCTCAGGTGACGGCTACTTGGACCTCCTCGCGGCACGCGCGCGCCTGGTGCGAGTTTTCGCTTATCGATCTCTCGCGCACAATTTCGCGGCCGGGCCCTCGTGCTTGGCGAGCGAAGAACGAGTTGGTTTTTGACTTGAGGCCGCAGCGCCGGCGAGCCCGCTCATCTTCCAGGCCCGCGCGTTTGGGGGGCTGAGGGCTGTGGACGGCGCAGGACCCGAGCGGCGACCAATAGCCCAGGCGGCGAGGACCGCGCCCGGGGAGTCGCCTTCGCCTCGACGAACGCCGCGCTTACGCAATTTGGAAAGAGGGGGAGGGGGGAGAGCCCCCTGACGTTGCAGCCCTCTAGGCTCGGAACACAGCCTCCGTGGAGCAGGCGGTGCTGAGCCAGGCCGTGCGCTGCGCGGCGAGGCTGGCTTGGCCCGCTTGGCAGTGTCTTCATACTCGTCGAGAATTTTTGAAAAGGGGGGGGGCGTGCCACTCGGAGCGGGGTGGCCACGACCGGCGACGCAGGCGCAGTGGCTCGCGCGCGGGCCGCCTTCAAGCAGCCAGGGCCTGAGCACCACGGGGTTCCCTAGTGGGCGGCGATGTTTCCAACAATTTATAATCTTTAGTCTCCCCAATTCTTCTCCTTGTTCCGGGGCGCTTTCCGGCCCTCCTACAAAGGAACTGCATTGTGTTGCAAGCAGCTGCCTCTGCTTCCTTGAGGTCCTGTTTTCGGGCAGCTGTGCCCGGGGTTGTTTTTTCCCTCATTCTTTGACTTCATAGCTTACCAGTGTTTCAAAGTAATCAGCTTGTGCGCTTTGCACTGATCCACGGCTCGCCTCGAGGTCACGCTTCAACGCAGGAAGTAGCACCTTGTCGTACTTGTGACAAAAAGTGCAGACATCAGTCCTGCACTTCAGGCGCACAAAATTGGGATGCTTCAGCTTCAGGTGGCGATACCACGCCGCCCGGCTAGGTAGGGACTGCATAGCCGTGCTTCTTGCCCACAATCTGCCGCGCGAAGACTTGAGATTGTACACCTTACAGAACGAAGCTGATGCAACTGGGCGCCATGTTACGGGCTCAAGGAAAAGAAGGCTCACTATAAAACCCTGCCAAGTTCTCAAACAAGGCACGGGACGCACAGCATCTTGGACTTTCATCAACTTAGCAGTGACAGTGGAGTTTTCCAGCAGGTACACTCGGACCTTATCGTAAACTAGCTGCGACTTCACTTTGCTTTTCCGACCGGCCCTCTTTTTGGCCTTGTTCTTCGTCACAGTGCCCCACATTCTGCGCCCTGGCACAGTCAAAACCTGACGGGCCTTCTGCCGGCCGCCAAGGTGGGTCTTTGCAGCTTGCGCCACAATCTCTTGCGCGGCGCTGCTTCCAGCAGCGCGGTTCGCCACATCTAGGGCAAAATGTTCCAAAGAGCTGCTGGCCGACTCGTGCAAGGAGGACAGTTCATCCTTATAGACTTCGTCACGCAGCGCAGCAAACGACAGAACCACGGATCTCATTGACTACTGCCGCTAACTTGTACTGGCAGTACTTTTCCTTGCTTGCGGCTTTTGAGTCGCTCTTTGGCGACATTCCGCTATGTAGCTTGGGCACTGAGAGCGCGCAAAGTTGGGCAAGCGGAAATGTATTGCGAGGCCTGCCAAATGGGCCAGCGGCCAACTGGAGCAACCAGAGGTATGATTCGGGGTATGATTCGGGTATGATTCGGGGTATGATTCGGAGCAGCGAACAAATCCACTTTTCTTAGGCCACCCTTTGCGTCTCCCAAAAACAGCCACCAGTCTCCGTAGGTTGACTGTGTCATGCACCTGCGCTGCTACGAAACACCATCCGCTTCCACCAAGCTTGGCCCTTGCATTTGAGCAGCTCCGAAGCCAGAACGCCACGCTATTCCCGCACCTTCAAGCAACATCTGAAACACGTGAAGACGAGATGTAAAACGCCTGTGAACATGCGCCCCGTACATCTTGGAAGCCAGCTCATGCATTTCGGCGCCGACTCACTCACTGAGAAAACATGGCACCTCAAGGCAAACGAAAACACAGCACTTCAAAGCCAAATCTGGCTGATACTGGCCGAGGCGGCCAGCGCGAGGCGTTTACAATGAGGCTCAAACACTTCCAATATAAAGACAAAGAAACCAGAATGTGGAAGCAGAAGCAAGGCATGTCAAAGCATGATCTACACCTGCTAAAGCTCTCAGCATGAACAGGCTGCGTATGTGGGGCTGTCAGCCTGGCCCTTGAGGATGCAAATCCACAATTTGTCTCACAAGGAACACGGAAACATAATGAGCTGCGCAGCTCCTCAAATTTTGCCACGCGCACACCAGCTCACAGTGGTTTGTCCACTGTTCAGTTCCCCCAAAAAGCCCCTGTCACAGAAGCTCCCAAGCACGCGCGCTTGGGAAGGCTACAGCGCACAGCCCCACTCCTTAGTGGTGCCCCAAGACACTCATGCGAGAAGCCATGCTTTCGGACTTAATGTGTCCACACTGAATTTCACTGAACGCAGCCATGGATGTCGAAGGGATGCCGTACTTGCGCTTGAAAAACTGCGCTTTGATGTGGCAGAAATGGCAACGAGAGCCGTGGTGCAGCATTGCAATCTTTCGCTTCTTGCCATTGCGCAGGATCCGCTCCGTTGGCGCAGGCATGTCTGCCGGAATCTTCTCGAGGGAGCAAAGGCTGCACTTCTCCGCCTTCTCGTAACTCAAGCGGTGCGGGTTGCCTGGCTTGTTCACTTTTTTCGGGCCCGGCTCCGACACCTTGAGCTTCTTCACTGGGCTGCCCCAAATCCGGTACTCGAAGTTGTTGTAGCCCTCGGGTTTCTTGTCAGGAGTGACAACATCCGCGGCTGCCGGATCCACAGCAGAAGCGCCGCTGCCCTCCAGGCCTTCGGCCGACTCACCCACCACCTCCGCAGAAATGCTGGCGCTCACCTGAGAAGGGTTCAACACTTGCCCTGTGCGAACATGACACTTGTAAAATCCTTCTCTTCCGGCCCGTTCTGGCCGCGCTGGCCTTCTCAGCAGCGGCACTGCGGTCAGAGTCTTGTTCCGCAACCTGTTTTTCAGCTCCAGCTACTTCATTGGCCGCATCTGCATCCCCGTCAGCGTCTGCGGGACCACCAGTAGCCTCAGCCGCCTGCTCTGCAAGCACGCCTGGCGGCTCACTGCCACTCACCGCCAACTCACCGCTGGCTTCCGCAAACAGCTCGGCGAGGGGCACTGGCTCCTCCAATCTTGACGCTTTTAGGCTGGGGCTGCAGCAGCAACAGCAGCAACAGCACCAGCATCACCACCCAAGCCCAAACAAAACAACCGCAAAAAGCCCGACACCAGCCACCACCCGCAGGACGTGGCATACAGCGCACGCGTCCTGTCACAAGTGTGACAGAGTGTGGCATGCAGCGCACGCAGCCCGCACCGCTACCACCACCCAAACAACCGCAAAAAGACCGACACCAACCACCACACGCAGGACGTGGCGTACAGCGCACGCGTCCTGTCACAAGTGTGACAGAGCGTGGCGTGCAGCGCACGCAGCCCGAAGAAAAATCACCACCGCAGCCACCACCTCAAAGCGCATTTGGCAAGCGGACAGCCAACAAGCCAGCGCATCAGACCAGCAAGGAGCCCCTGTGTAACTTCCAAATGCTCCGCTACTTCAAACTAGCTTTTAGACTCTTGCCATGTTGGTTTCCCTTGAAAGGATCGCTAACTTAACCCCGGTCCTTGGTCTTCCCTGCCTTGCAAATCTGCTTCAGCTGCTGCAGCGTTGGGTCTGTCACTTCGAGGCACAACTGCAGAAGACGCTTCGCTTCTGCTTCGTCTTGGCGTGACGCTATGCGGGCAGTCTTTGTCCGCAAGGAGAGCACGTGGGTGATCACCACCCCCGTGCTCTGTAGTCTTGGCTCTTGCCAAACGAAAGCCATTGCGGAAGCCGTCTTGCAGCCAAAGCTGCGGATGTGCCGGCCAATCTGCGTGTTGCAACAACAGCCTGCTTGAAATCCCCCGGGCCTAATCACAATCCGTAGTACGCTGAATTCTTAATTTGGTCGAACCTGCTCAGTCACTCTGAATCCGCAATCCGTAATTCGAGTTGCAAACTGCGACTCGTGAGCAACCATGCAGCCCATGATCCGTGATCCGTCAGCTGGCGAATCCAATCCGCAAACCGCAATATCTGCAACCCGCTAATCATTGGAAATCAGGTTTCGAACAAGCTCGAACAACATGCAAACGCATTGCTCTGTGATACCAATGTTCTGCAGTTGAATGTGGACTTCCAGATGCCAAAGGGAATGTATTGTTAAGCAGCGGCTTTCAATGGAACTGTTTCTTCAAGGTATGCTTCGGGGGCTTGCTTCGGGGCTTGCTTCGGGGTATGCTTCGCGGGGGTCCCACTTCCACCCTCTTCAAATCTTGTACACAAGTAAAAAAAGACACACCCAAATATGTAACAATGGTAGATGTAGAAGTACAAGTAGTAGCAGTAGTGGTAGTAGCAGCAATTGTATTCGATTTTTTAGTCGTAGTAGTAGTAGTAGTACTAGCATATATTTAATAGAGGTAGAAGTAGTAGCAACAGTAGCAATGGGATTAATAGTAGCAGTGGTAGCAGCAGGAGCAGCAATAGTAATGGCATAAATATTAATGTGAATAGTAGTAGTAGTAGTAGTAGTTGTTGTAGAAGTAGTAGTAGTAGTAGTAGTAGTAGTAGTAGTAGTAGCAGCAGAAAAAGCAGTAATAGTGGCATTCGTATTAACATGACTGGTCGTGGTTGTAGTACTAGCAGTAGTGTTAGTAGTAGTAGTAGTAGCAGCAGAAGTAGTAGTAGTAGTAGTAGTAGTAGTAGTAGTAGTAGTAGTAATAGCATTAGCACTTGGTTTTAAATTATAGTAATGGTAGTACGAGATGCAGCAGCAGCAATGGTAGCATTAGTGTTAGCATGGCTTGTAGTAGTGGTAGTAGTAGCAGCAGCAATAGTAGTAGTGGTAGATAGTAGTAGTTGGTGGCCTGGGACTGAAAGATCAGGTTCACGTCGCCTTCCAACACCTTGCCAGCCATGGCAGCTGAGAAGCTGAACAGCGACATGCTCGACATGCTTTGCGGCTCCACCTTCTCCTTCTATTAGTGGTGGTGCTCTGGTGACTCCGTGGGTTGGCCGCGGAACACAGACCGCCAGAATGGAAGGTCCACTACCATCAGCGACTGGCAGCCTCGCTTGAGGCTGACTGCCATTTCCACTTTGCCGTCAGCCGTCTGGTAGCAATTGTAACACTAGAAGACACGACAGCATACGAAGCCCCAGCGTCCCCAGCATCCCCGGTGTCAATCCGCCCGTCATCCCCCCAGCGTCCCTTCCAAAGTACGCAAACCGTTTCAAGGCTGCGCGAGCTGAAAGTGTTAAGAAAAACACGAGGCTTTTGTGCGGTCGACCCTTCCAAAGTACACAAACGGTTCACCGTTTCATGGCTGCGCAATGCTGGAAGTGTTAAACAAACACGAGGCTTTTGAGGCCGACCCTTCCAAGGTATGCAAACGGTTCACCGTTACAAGGCTGCGCAAGCGGAAAAACGAGCGGAAAATGGTTTAAAAAACACGAGTCTTTTGCGGCGATCCTTTTAAAGTACGCAAACGGTTGACCCTTTGATGGCTGCACAAGATTGAACAAAAGCACGGCGTTTATGGTCGACCCTTCCAACGTACGCAAACGGTTGACCCTTGCACAGATTGAAAAAAAGCACGGCGTTTGCGGTCGACCCTTCCAAAGTACGCAAACGGTTGACTCTTTGATGGCGGCGTTTGCGGTCGACCTTTCCAACGTACGCAAACGGTTGACCCTTCGATGGCTGCACAGTTTTTTTTTTTTAAAAAAAAAACGGCGTTTGCGGTCGACCCTCCAAAGTACGCAAACGGTTGACCCTTTGATGGCTGCGCAGGAATTTTCTTTAACAAACACAGCGTTTGCGGTCGACCCTTCCAAAGTAAGCAAATGGTTCAAAGTGTTAAACAAACACGAGGCTTTTGAGGTCGACCCTTCCAAAGTACGCAATCGTGTTCAACAAACGCGAGGCTTTTGCGGTTGACCCTTCCAAAGTACGGATAATGGTTCACCGTTTCAAGGGTGCACAAGCTGAAAGTGTTAAAAAAGACAAGGAGGCTTTTGCGGTCGACCCTTCCAAAGTACGCAAACGGCTCACCGTTTCAAGGCTGCGCAAGCTGAAAGTGTTAAAACAACACGAGGCTTTTGCGGTCGACGCTTCCAAGGTGCGGCAAACTGTTCACCGTTTCATGACTGCACAAGCTGAAAACGTTAAAAAAGCACAAGGCTTTTGCGGTCGACCCTTCCCAAAGTACGCAAAATGGTTCACCGTTTCAAGGCTGCGCAAGCTGAAACTTTTAAAACAACACAGGGCTTTTGAGGCCGACCCTTCCAAAGTACGCAAGCAGTTCACCGGTTCAAGGCTGCGCAAGCTGAAAGCGTTAGAAGAACATGAGGCTTTTGAGGTCGACCCCTCCAAAGTACGGTACGCAAACGGTTCACTGTTTCATTGCTGCACGAGCTATAATGTTGAAGAAGCACGAGGTTTTTGAGGTCGACCTTTCCAAAGTATGCAAACAGTTGACCGTTTGATGGCTGGGCAAGCTAAAAGTGTTAAAAATAACATCACTCGGCGATTGAAACCAACCCTTCCAAAGTACGCAAGCGGTTCATCGTTTCATTGCTGCGCAAGCTAGAAATGTTGAAAAAACACAAGGTTTTTGAGGTCGACGGGCGCCGTGTTGCCGTTGAGGGCATGCAACAGCCTGTTGCGATTCTTCGCAAGCGGGAGGGAAGCAATAGCGCGCCTCCCCCATCTGCGCCGCGAAGCCCAAGCCTTGCGCAACATCTACCCAGCCTGGCGACGGAAAATTGCCTATTCAATCCGCGCCGCGGCAGGCGCAACTGAGCGCCCCGCCGACTTGGCCAACCTCAGAACGGCGCGCAAGCAAGGCCCTGTCGCCAGCCCCGCAAACTCTACGCCGCGGAAGTACAAGGACATCTAGGAGTGCTGCGCATCACTTCGCATCAGTGCGGCGGCAGCACGAACATATAGAGAGTCTTTGGAGATTTCTTTGAATTTGTCAAAGGACGCGTGCCTCATCCAGCTCGATTTCATGGAAAACATGACTTGGCCCTTGGGGCCAGAAGAGGTGAGTGATTGGTTCTGGGCGACTAGCCGGGAGAGTATGACTTCTCTAGGGTTTTTCGTGTCATACTGGCGTGATGGGCTCCTGGTGAAAGAATATTACCAATACATCTCGCAAGTGTTGAATCATGACAGCGCATTTGCCTGCCAATGCCTGCAGCTTGCCGGAGTTAGACCATCTTGATATTGTCTTGACCCTGGCTGCTACTAAGGAATGATGTGCTGAAAGGCTTACCGCTTCAAGGCGTGAAGCAGTTGCTGTGCTGGGCCGACTGCGGGGCACATTTCCGCAGCTATGAATTCCTTTGGAATCTAGCAGAGCTCTGCGAGTCGACTTTTCCGGTGACGCAGCTGGACTTTTTTGCCGAGCACCATGGCAAGGGAAGATGCGACGGGGCCTTTGGCCTGCAGAGGCGCTGGGTAGCTGAGTGGGCCCGGACGCACACCATCACCTCGCTGGAGACTATGCGAGAAGCCCTCGAAGCTGGAGCTGCCACCACCATGCGTTTGGATCCCCCTCCACACGGGCCTTCCTACAAGATCAAGGTCTTCGTTCCAGAGCCCAAGTCAGAGTGCAAAAAACTTGATGTGAGCGGCACCGGCTTGCAAATCGAATACACGTACTGTGTGCAGTTCGACCGGGCGAGGTGGCCACGTGCGAGTCTGGAACTATTGGTTTTCAGATCGGGCTGCGAGCGGAAAGGGTGGAGATCTGCTTTCTTGCGCAAAAGCTCTGAAAAGCAAGGTCACAGACGAGTGGAGGGTGTCCTATAGAGCTGCAATGCCGGAAAGATCACCTCTGAATATTGCTTCGCTGCAGAGGCGCAAGGAGAAACAACAAGCTTTTGCGGACCTAACAAGAGTTTCCCGGCGGGATCCGTTCCTGGTGGCCTTTCGAAAAAGAGAAAAAAGGCAGGAGCGCCAGAAGAGGAAGTACCAAAGGCAGAAACGAGTTCTCGCAGTGAACCTCGAAGAGGCATCTGCAAGCTCAGGCTCTGACGGCAGCTCCGACAGCGGCGCTTGAAAACAAGGTGCGCAGCATTTGGGCTAACCGTGCGCTTACAATCAAATCGGGAGGGTCGTGCTTGCGCAGCGGTTCTGTGGAAGCGCACATAGTAGAGGTGTACTTTGTGTGTTGCGCTTGTGCTGAAAGGTTGCGTTTTGCAGTTGTAGCTGCCAGCTGGTGTCTTTTGCGCGCTGCGCTTGTACTGACAAGTTGTGATTTTCCAGCTGGAGCTGCCAAAGTGTGCTTGTAGCCTTGCAGCGCCTCGTTCAAAAACTATGGTTCCAAGGATTCTGCCAAAGAACTTGGCTTTATATTCCTCGGCAAAGAACGGCCCCGAAGCATACCCCGAAGCATACCCCCGAAGCATGCCGCGAAGCAAGCCCCGAAGCGTGCCCCATATCCCAACTTCCAGGCCCGGGAACGTTATTTTGAGACGAACCCATTAATTTGTACAATTTCTGTTATCATCCGCACTACCATTTTGGACGCTAAGGGGGCTGGGGACGCGGGCGGCGCTAGGGACGCCTTGCTGGGACGCTGTTCAAGCAAGCAAGGGCTGCGGAAGTAAGCCGCACTGGACTGCGAAAACTTGACGCTGATGAGAGTGAAGCGGTGGTTCGGAGTCACAATTCATTGGCAGGCGCAGCTTACTGTAGTTTTTTTGTAAAAGCAATCTGCGCTGGACGGCGAAAGTAAACCGCACTGGACCGGCCGGCCCTGGGGACCAGCGGGT